TGAGATCACTACCATCCTGCTTTTGTGGGGGTGGGTAGGGGTGTTAATTCCCCACTGATTGATTATTTATGTTTCTTTATCCTCGTTCGCTCTCACGGTTCTCCTGGCATTTTCCCATTTTCTTTTCCCGTATGGCAAGGCGAATTAATCAGTTAAAGAAGTATACAATTTTGGAAGATGTAGGAAAGATGAGGTGATTTTAAATAGATTACAATTTGGGCACACAGGACTAAATGCATCACTATACAAAATAGGTAAACATATTACAGGTAAATGTGCTTTTTGTGGGGTCTCAATTGGATATTAAGGATTAAGAGAAGGTATTAATCAAAGAATAGTAATGGAATATATAGTAGAAACAGGATTAATAAACGAATTTGATAGTTAAATAAATGAATAAATAAAGCAAAGGAATAGGGGAACACACAAGCTGGGTTTTTTGGCATGGGAGCTGAACACGCAGCAGCCAGAAATACAGCTTGGGTGAGCCCGAAATAAAATTAACAATTAATAAAATAAAAAATAAATAATAATAAAAAAATTTTTTTTTAAAATAAAATAAAATGAAATGAATAGAGGCGGGACTATCATCCATGTATGATTAGAAACAGTTGGTGGCGGTATGTGCCTATGGTGCGGAATACGCCAAAAATTCCAAAGAAGAAGAAGAAGAAGAAGAAGAAGAAGAAGAAGAATTATTTTATTGTCTACTAATTACCAAAAATCACAGTTCTGTCTCTCCAACTCAATGTATTTCAATTGCCCGCTATGAACTTCCTGGAACTATTTGAGGTCTACGTGAATCACGTGACGATCGAGCGTTTTGGACTTCCGTTGACGCAACTCTCTCTTTCCATGGCTCTGGTTCGTGCTAGTCGGAAGCATCACTTCGCGCACGCGCTTTGAGTCGGGGCAGTTCCATAGCAACCGTAAAGAACAACATGGTGAGTTCCCATCCTGTTTCTGCTTTTAATACACATTATTATGTGATGTTACTGAGTGCAAAATGCATTGTTCTAAATTATTAAATAAAGAGTTAGTTTTATAATAAAACGACAACATCACGCTGGCTGGAAAAAACAAGTTGCATCAGTGTTCATCACTTGAGTCAGGCAGTTTGCGCAGATAAACATTTACGTTAGCCACCTTGCTAGTTTATTAGCAGGTTGGGTTTTAAATGTGCAGAGGTTTTGGTTTATTAGGTATTAAACGGGCTACAGAAGATGTCAACATAATGTGGAGAGTATAGCCAGCTTAGCATCTGTATTATTAGTGAGCTGGATTTTAATAACACACAGTGGCATATTCGTAGAGATACAGAGAAAAATACATTTTATTATAATTTATTAGGCTCTTAACTATATTTTTGCAACAAACATAATCTTACCTTGCTGTGAGTCATCACGAGTTTATTATGTGTGTTTTCAGGCAAAAGCAACAACTATTAAAGAGGCCCTGGTGAAATGGGTAAAACATTTATTGCTAATTTAGTTTGTAGATTAGCTTTTTCAAGTTTTAACCCATTAAATATTCACAGTAAATATGTAAGCTCTGCTCTGTGTCAGTCAAATTATCTTAATTTATTTCACTTGGTTGTTTGAAGGAGGAGAAATCAGGTGAAAAAGCGAACGAGGCCACAGCAGTGAAGCTTTATGGTCAGATCCCTCCCATTGAAAAAATGGATGCATCTCTCTCTAATCTTGTCAACTGCGAGTGAGTCTAAATATACAAACACACATATTTTTTTAGTGTATTTTCTTATAAACCAACATCAGTGTGTGTCAGATATAATAACTCTCTAATATATCTTCATTGTATGTTCTGTTCTGCCTAGGAGATTATCCTTGTCTACAAACTGTATTGAAAAAATTGCCAACTTGAATGGTCTAAGTAAGTACACCCCTCAAATGCATACATACCCGTCAAGTGCATTTGTCATGATTACTGAGCAGTTTATTTACATTTTTCTCCTAGAGAACCTTAAGATATTGTCCTTGGGGCGGAATAACATCAAAAACCTTAATGGACTTGTAAGTAAAGTAACAGAACATTAAGGATTAGGTTAAGAATTGGACTCCTCTTCTCTCTAACTCGTCCTCTTCTGTCCCCTCGACAGGAGGCAGTAGGTGATACTCTGGAGGAGCTGTGGATCTCTTATAACCTCATAGAAAAACTGAAGGGAATTCATGTCATGAAGAAACTCAAAGTCTTGTACATGTCTAACAACTTGGTCAAGGAGTGGGGTGAGCATGGAAGATAGATTACTGAGAGTCCAATAGCAGCTTAGCCAAGGTATGTCAATGGTGAGCATTTTATGAGGCTGTTTGTTCCTTTAGGGGAGTTTCAGAAGCTGGCAGATCTTCCATCATTGGTAGACCTCGTCTTTGTGGGGAATCCATTAGAAGAGAAGTATTCTGCAGATGGCAACTGGATAGAGGAAGCTACTAAGAGGCTTCCCAAGCTTAAAAAGCTAGATGGTAAGCAGCATATTTGTCCAATAATTAAACAATTAGTTAAACATGTAAAAAAAAAAAAAAAAAACCTTCATACAGCCCATAGTTGCAAAAATGACCCTTGATGATTCCTCATAATTTTCATTTTTAGGAAACCCAGTTATCAAACAAGAAGAGGAGGAAGGTGAAGGGGAGAGTTAATGCAATTCCTTTAAATATTCTAAAGTTGGTGCATTTTTATTGTTTAAACACCAGCATTTTAACTATTAGAAGTCTGTGCAATATTTGCATTTTTTAGGTGTATTTATATGGAATAAGCTAAAAACCTAAATCCATTTTCTTGAGCTTTAACACTATTTGAATAGATTTGAAAAGCACACACTTGATGAGTTTTGTTAGCCTTAGCACAAGCAGAAATATACAATCATAATGTATGGGTCGTGCAGAAGGACAGATTGGATGGTACTCATTACTTACACTGTAAAACAAAATTGAAGAATGCAATTGTTACCTTAAAGAACTATTTCTACTTAATCTAACTTATGCTTAAAAATTATTTTGAAGAATTAATATGTACACCTATAATAATTAATATTTTAACAACTTGATTCAGTGAAATAAGATCTTTGACTTGAATAACCAGTTAATTTCCATGTTACCACATGAAGGACATAATAAAAGTTAAGAAAGTTAATGACAACTTTTCAGGGAGTTCAATAACTTGTTAGATTGTAACAGTAAATGCAAGCCAGTGACAGCAACTACAAAACTGGAATGACTGATCAAGTGTGTGACATAGGCTTTAACTGTTTTGTTTGGTGGTGCTATGCTTTAGTATGTCTCTATTAGGAGGCTACTTTAAGAAGTCTCTGTATTTGAAGTTCATTAATAATTGCAAGATTCAAATTCTAAATAGCATACTTTTTGTAATAAATTTGTTTGGACATAAGCAAATTCCTAATCTATTTGCAGTTATTCTGTTGTCATACAGTTCCATC